AATCCTATCACATGCTACAGCATGAGTGACCCTTTGGACATTATGCTAAACAAATAAGCCAGTCACACAAAGACATACTGTAGGATTATACTCCTATAACATATCTAAAGTAGTCAGACAGTAGAAACAGAAAGCAGAAACATGATTACCCAGAGCTGGTAAGAGAGGGAAGGAGGAATTTGTGTTTAGTGGGTATAGAGTTTCAGTTTTGCAAGATGAAGAAGTTCTAGAGATCTGGTATACAACAATGTGAATATACCTTGTCCAGTCCATCATGAATGACCAGTGGTGCAAACACTTTCTAATCTTCTCCCTGCCTCCAATTTTGACCCTGTCCAGTCTGTTCTTTAAACTACAGTTGGTACATTTTTGAAACCCCGTATCTGTTCTTGTCCTTTGGCTGCTTAACATTACTCAGACTCTCCATTTCCCTTAAGAAACTGTAGACTCCTTGTCCTGGCCTTTGAGGGTGTATGGCACCAGCCTTCCCTCTGAGCACTCTTTATCTGAAGCTCTATGCTTCCAGCTATTCTGGACTTACTTCAATGTCTTGGATGCACTGAGTGCTTTTCTTCTTCTTAGCGTTTGCACATTCCTTTCCTTCAGCCTCCAACTCTCTTTCATGCCGTCTTAGCTCTTGCCTCATCCCCTTATTGCCTGCCTAACTTTTCCTGTAGATCTAAAGCTTTCTTTTACACTAATTGTACTCTCTGAGTACTGTCTTGTACATCACATTATCTTGTCTTGTTTGCTATAATAGAAGGTTTGAGATGGAAGGGACCCTGCCTGTCCTACTCATTGTATGTAACCCCTCTGCTCTATACTGGTGGTTCTCAAAGTGTGGTCCTCCAACCAGCAGCATCAGCATCATATGGGAACTTGTGAGAAAAGCAAGTTCTCAGACCCCACAGCAGATCTACTAAATCAGAGACCCTAGAGGTAGGACCCTGTGTCTATGTTTTACCAGATGATTCTGATCTGTGTTGAAGTTCGAGAACCATTGCTGTATGCCATATCTGCTACTTGGAGGCTCTGAAAATTTGTTGAGTGAGTGGAAACAATTCAGGATTTTATTCACCCACAGCTATTTATGCTTTGTTGCTATTAAATGCATAGCCACACAATGTCAAGGGGTTTTGCTAAAAGGAGCTATGTAGCACACATAAAGCAGCTCTTATTTCTTCACAAAAATCACTGGGTGGGAGGTATCTGCATATCAGACTGCAGTACCTTACCCAGTGTCTTATGGTCAGTAAGCTAAATCTTCGAAGACTTAACATCTCTAGAGAATGGACGTAGAGGTGGAAAGTATTCTGTGAGCCTTCTCAGTGATGCCTGTTTTCATTATTATCCCATTTTATTTTTCAGCAAATACTTATCAAGTGTGGGTTCTGAGTAAAATTTCTGGCTTTGTCACTTGAAAGATAATGTGACCCCACACAACTTGCTTACCTTTCTATGCCTCAGGTGACTTCTATGTAAAGGGATAATGAGAGTACTTGCCTCATAGGTTTATTAGAAAGTTAAATAATACCTGTAAGGTACTTAGAACAGTATCCAGCACAGAGTAAAGCCCACTAAATATTTCTAGTATATGTTAAGTGCTGTTCTAGGTCCTGGGATAGGGTGGTAAGTGGGACAAATTCCTTCCACTTACAGAGTTTACATTCCAACCCATTATAACTATAAAGACAAAAATATATTTCCGTTCCCCATGAGTTATATTAACTAGCTCACTCAAGTGCCCTCCTGTCCAAGTCACATTTTCATTGTATCTTTATCTCTGACTCCTCCTTTTTCACATATCCACTTAATTGCCTGAATTTCTTAAGTCCACTTTCCAAGTTTAGCTGTTCTAGTCCTTTCCAACTCCAAAGGCCTGAGAACCAGGAGAACGGATGGTGTAGTTCCAGCCTGAAAGCCAGGAGACCTGAGACCCAGGAAGAGCTGATGTTTCAGTTCAAGTCCAAAGGCAAGAAAAAAGTTGATGTCCTAGTTCAAATGCAGTCACACAGAAAGATATTTTCTGGGGGCACCTGGGTGGCTCAGTCGTTAAGCATCTGCCTTCGGCTCAGGTCATGATCTCAGGGTCCTGGGATCGAGCCCTGCATTGGGCTCCCTGCTCAGTGGTAAACCTGTTTCTCCCTCTCCCATCCCCTCTGCTTGTGTTCCCTCTCTCGCCGTGTCTCTCTCTGTCAAATAAATAAAATCTTTTTTTTTTTTTTTAAAGATATTTTCTGTTCCTCGGGAATGGGGAAGCCATTTTGTTCTATTCAGGCCTTCAAATGATTGGATGAGGCCCACCCACCTTAGAGCAATCTGCTTCACTCAGTCTACTTAACTAAGTGTTAATTTCATCCAAAAACTCTCACAAAAATTCCCAGAGTAATGTTTGACCAACTATCTAGGCATCCTCTGGTCCAGTCAAATTGCCATATAGAATTAATCATTATATACATAAATGATCAGCAAGTATACAATTTTAAAACCTAGTTTTAGGAATTGTGCTACTAATTTTATATAGTCATGTATAAAAATTATTAAAATATAGTAACTCATTTAGCATATTGAGCAGTAAATATAATAATCTTCAGCACTCAGAGAATCACAAATCTTAACACGTTAAGAGAAATATATTTGAATATGTAATTAGTTCTTTATGTTAAAGCCATGAAGAATGTTTTTTATATATGAGGTTCTTTGAAAAGGTGTTCACATATGAGGTTCTTTGAAAAGAAATCTGAACAGAAATATACAAATAGCCTGCACTATGCTATCTTGAACTTACGTACATTTCATTAAGTTCAGCAGGCATTTATTGAATATATACTGTATACAAGTTCTGTGTTAGTTGCCAAGAGGTATTATAAGATGTATAAAAGACTTCCTCAAGGAACACAAACATGGACACATCTTAACTGTATTATAGGCAATATTGGTTAACTGTTTCATTAGAGATGCAAATGAAATATAACTACATGAAACTGAATGCTTTATCCTGTTTGGGAAAATGTATATGGTAATACATCTCTAGATCATCAATAATAGAGTAGGAATTTTATTGACAGATAAGAAAGAACTCAAGAAAAATTGAGAAACAGAAGGATTTATTTTGGCAGCAGAGAATTTAGTAGTGCTGAAGTGTTTCAGTTATGATACATGAAGAAGTAATAACAGAAGGAAAACTTATATATAAATCTGTCTAGAAAAAGGAGGTAGAAGCAAGTCAGAGTGAGCCCTGTTTGTCATTATAAAGAACTGGGTTTTTTTGTTTTTTGTTTTAATTGGGAGCAATGAAAATATCTGAAAAGAGGAACAACTTTTCTAATCTGAGATTTGGAATAATTTAGGAACAAAGTTGGAGTAGGTTAAAGTGCTGTGAAATTGTAAGAAGGATACCCAGTTTTTTGTGTGCATATCTCATCTGTTTCTAAAGAGGATCTGAGACAGTTCAGAGAATTAAAAAAATAAAGGTGAGAAAATAAAAGCAAAATGAAAATAAAAGGCAAGAAAATAAGACAGTGCTGGAGTAAGACTGGTGCAAAAAAATGCACCTAGTAAGATTATGCAGTATTGATAGAGGTGGGCTAAAAGTTTAGCTCTGAATTTCTTAACAGGAGGAAAAATGGGAAATGATGACTTACGAGATTAACTGTCTTCACTTTCTAAAATTATTATTATTTTTTAATGATTTTATTTATTTGACAGAGAGAGAGAGAGTAGGAACATAAGCAGGGGGAGTGGGAGAGGGAGAAGCAGGCTCCCTGCTGAACAAGGAGCCCGATGTGGGACTTGATCCCAGGACCCTGGGATCGTGACCTGAGCCGAAGGCAGACGCTTAACCGACTGAGCCACCCAGGCGCCCCAAACTGTCTTCACTTTCATCTCACTTCCTGTTTCACAGGAAAGAAGTAGAAGCAGTCAGGAGCAACTTTTCCCAGGATCCCACTACCAGATCTCTCACATAAATTCCCATCTTCTCTGTCTCCTTACCCCAGATGAACCATCCGTACTCCTCCGTAAAGCCAACTCCTTCACTTGTGCTTGACTTCCACTCCTCCCACTTACTCAACAGTCTTCTCCCAACAACCTCTTCTCTCTCCTGCAGTTCCAGTTTTCCCTGTTGGATCACTCCTATCAACATAAAAATGTGTTGCAAAAAAATCTTTTTTCACCCAGCTTCTTTCTCCATCTGTTGCCCCATCCATTCTTAGAAAGAAAAATGCTAATCAGAACTTCAGTTAAAAAAAAAAAAACTTCCATCAGATTTTTTTCTCTTTTCACATTGGCAAAAATCAGAACTTTATAGCACCTTCTATAGACAAGGTTTTGTGAAAAAAATCTCATATGTTGCTGGCAGAAATGCAAAATGGATTTCTTGCATCCCCAAATTCTGTGTAGGGGAATCCAACAATGTGTATCAAAATTAAAGATGATTTACCCTTTAATCCATAATCTCAGAGAATCAACTCAAGAGAAATACCTGCATGTATAAAATGATATCACATATATCTCTTGTTAAACATGTAAGTGCAGAGTAATTTTTAAAGCTTCTGGCATTTATAAAAAATACATATTTGTGGGGCACCTGGCTGGCTCAGTCTATAGAGAATGCAAGTCTTGATCTTGGAGTCATGAGTTCGAGCCCCACATTGGGCATAGAGATCACTTAATTTAAAAGAAAAAAGAAAGAAAATATATTTGCAGGAGTTTGCATAAAGAAACTTTAAAATAAATAAGAAGTAACAAAATTATTCATAGATAGGCTGGGGAATTATGGGGAAAAATCTATTCTGATAATTTCCATTCTTTTCTATTTTAAGCTCTCACATTTATGTAAAATATGAAATGACGATTTTTCTCAAATCATGTGTTATACTTTATCTGGGACCAAAAAAAAAAGTCATGAATATACAGTACTCACTAAATTTTTTTTTAGTACTTGCTAAAGTTTTAAATTTTATTTTACCATAAAATGATTCTTTAAATTCTATTCCTAGATCCATATTTATTCTCTTGGAATGACATTGTATTGGGGGGCTGATCACGAAGTGCCTCAGAGCCAAGTAAGTCAAATTGTCACATCTATACAACTTTACCCTTTTTAGAAAGCTCTTCCTTGTATATTTATGTTCTACAGCAAGTTATCAGGCATACCAGCATTTCTATGCTGTTTGTTCACATTAATAATGTCATACTCTCAGCATGAAATAATAAAGTACTAAAGGCATTATTCTCAGAATGTTCTTAGAATTATAGCAGTTACTGTCTATTTAGTCTGTGAAATGTAATGGCCTCTTCAAAAATTATAGCAAGAGAAATGGGAGTCCACTGTATTTCTTCTAATGTAATGACTGATAAGAGGGATTCTAAATGTTGATGATTCATTCTTGAACTAAAGTGATAACCTTTTTTGATGCAGACACATAGGAATAATAGCTCTAAGTGTGTCTCAAAATATAGTTCATACTTCATTACTTTTTTTCCTTAACGCTTCAAAATCATACTTCACTAAGCCTGTGGCAGCAGACACCAACATTAAAGCAACACTTTGATGTTTTGCGTTCTGATGATCTTTGGGCTGTTTCTAATCCTCATTTTCTAGAATAATTGATTCCTAAAGACCCAATATAAAAAAAATAATAAATTGTAATTGAAAATTTAAGAACTATATTTCATCAAAGCAAAGATGTAACATACAGAATTAGGTTTAATTTTAGGCATTTAGAAATCAAAAACAAAAATAACTAAGTATAGGGTTGTTTTCTTTTTATTTCATCAAATTAAGAAGTAACAAGCATTTTAGGCTTTTATTCTAAAATTCAGACATCCTAAGATCCATGAAAGATGGATGACATCTTCAACTTGGTTTGGTATCATTTTGTATCATGAAAAATACTGTGTATTTATTTACTTTCTCTCCTCAGTTTCAATTTTATAAATATAGGTGAAAAAGTTAAATTATTACTGGAAATATTGGTGTCATATATTGTACAACCCAATTTAGGTGTAAAATGTGATCATAACCTATGGTTAACACTTTATACTCTTCAGATAGCCAAAAATTAAGTAAATATCAATAATATATAAATTGGAGACATATTTTGCTATCAGAAATCATAATCATTTTGCAATTATTTAATAACCATTTCAAAAGTATTAAGCCCCTATCTTGTGTCAGACACTGTACTAGACACTAGGAATGTACTGGCCCATGACTGTGGGGTCTATCCAGGGGTACAAGGCAAAAAATTAGCCAGTTATAACAATGTGTGAATGCTATGGTAGGGAAGTGGAGGGTGCTGTGGAAAACCAAGAGTTGGAGCCTCTCACTAGACTTAGAGGATTAGGGTGAGTTTACTAGAGGGCATTGCATCCAAGCTGAGATCTGAAGGATGACCTAATACCCAAATGGACGAGAAGTGGAAAGGAAGGGTCATAGGAAAAGCATGCTTAATCAGAGCAGTTGTACCAGTTTAAACTCCCACCAACCATGCTTTTCTGTTATCAGTACTTCAAATTATCAGTCTTTTTATTTTTAGCCATTCTGTTGAGTCGTGTAGTGGCTTCTTTTTGTGGTTTTAATTTGCATTTTTAAGTATACTTATTGCACATTTGGATAGAATATTCTATAAATCATGTCAGCTAATTAAAAAATCTTACATTACACTTTCTCTATTTCACCAGCATGATGAGAACTTATATTTAAATGATCTTAAGTCATTGTAGTATTTGAAATCTAAGTTATCATCAGTGTCAAATTATATTTAATATATATTTAATATATTACAGTTTTTTGACTGTTAGGAAATCATTTATTCACCAAAATGTGCGTACACACACACACACACACACACACACACACACACACACACACACACTCACTCACAGAACTGCTTACCAAAATACTTGAATAACTGAGGAATTCCATTTCTTTATCATACAAAAACAAAAAACTTGAGTTTGTCTGTAATACTTCCTATCTTGGGAGAGTTATGTTAACCATCTTCTAATAATTTTTGGGGGTTATGAAAAGATAAAATGTAGTAAAATATATATGCTGCTAGATAAGGAGTTCCTTTCCTCCAAGTATTTGCAGTGTGTTTGGTGTGGTTCCTGGGACTCCTGAAATGGTTTGTCTCATGTTGGATAAGATTTACGTACAGTTTTCAAAGTTGCTTTTCCTTTCTTTATATTCAGCCTATCAAGCTTGGAGATCATCTCAACAGCATCCTGCTTGGAATGTGTGAAGATGTTATTTACGCTAGAGTTTCTGTTCGGACTGTTCTGGATGCTTGCAGTGCCCATATTAGGAATAGCAATTGTGCACCTTCATTTTCCTATGTGAAGCAGTTGGTAAAACTGGTTCTGGGAAATCTTTCTGGGGTAAGCTACAGTTCCAACTGGTATATATAGTCATATTTTAAAATTTAGCAGAACATTTTTTAAAGATACTGTAGGTAGCATTTTCTCAATGAAGACTAGGGAACAGTACATTAAATTCCTTGTTCTAATGTTAATTGTTTATTTGAAACATGACTTAAAATTTAGAAGCCTGGTGCAATAACTTAGTCTCTTAGATTTTATGAGAATTCATCTTTTTTTAGAATGTGTTAGAGCTGAAAATGTTTGTTCTTGCCTCCTTTCTTACATCGTAAGGAGCTTCCAGCAAGTGGTTCTGTCTATTGTGAAAAATACATTGACATACAAAATGGGTTTTAGCATTAATAATGCACTTTCTATTGCTTTATACCTCTTTCTTGGCCACTTACTGGTCTGGACCCCTTGAGTATTCCCAAAACTCTCCCCATCTTCTATGGACACTGTCACCTGGTGTGAAGGGGGTGATACATGCTTGTATCCCTGCTAGATTGCCCCAAGACCTGGACGCTCCCGTTCTCTCTCGTCATAGATACGAAGAATCCCAAGAATAATAAACCCTGTATCTATAGTCCCACCTCTGCAAATCATGTGTTACACTTTATCTGGGACAAAAAGACATGAATATATAGTACTCGGATACTCCTTGGTTTTTGATAGCTGATCTAGATCCAACTTTATCTGCTCTTACACTTCAGAGTTATGGGACCTGAGTGAGGTCCTTCTTTGTGTGAACTACAAATTTGCCACTGTCACACAGTGTTCTTGATGGCTTCTCACTTCTTCTTCCTAGGGGTTTTGCCATCTTTTTTTTTTTTTTTAATTTTTATTTATTTATTTGACAGAGACACAGCGAGAGAGGGAACACAAGCAGGGGGGTGGAGAGGGAGAAGCAGGCTTACCACTGAGCAGGGAGCCCGATGCGGGGCTCGATCCTAGGACCCTGGGATCATGACCTGAGCTGAAGGCAGATGCTTAACGACTGAGCCACCCAGGCGCCCTGGGGTTTTGCCATCTTAACCAGGATGTTGTATGGCTGGAGGGGTATATCCAAATTCTGTGCAATTTGCTAGTTGACAAGAAACAGGCTCATAGATTCTTCCAGGCAAATGATTTATAGACTGTACCCTGTGTAAACTGTAAACTATACCTTGGTGCTTCTGTAGTGAAAGGAATATAGGTAGTAGAGGCTGAGTGAATGGGTTCTTGGCTGCTTATTTCCCCTCCTTAACTAGAGCTGCTCCAGTTCTAATTTACTTATTTGTTTATATTCCTGCATCTGATTTTTTTTTTAACAAAGGTAAAGCTACTAAAAATCTATGAAAGCCTTCTATCCAGAACAAAGTTTCCTACATATTATCAAATACAGTTTTGTTTTTAAAAATTCCTTTGTGATCAAATAAGTTTGAGGAAAACCTATTTAAGAGAAATTAAAATATATTTTCACTGCAGAACTTCTCAGAGCCTTTAATACACTAGACTATATTACTCACCTTCAAGAGTGGTACGCATGTAGATAAAACATTTCCCAAATTTATTTGGGTCTTTTTTCTTTTTTTACAGATTTTTTCATAATACTAATGTTCCATAAAACTTCCTTTGAGAAAAAGCGATCAATACTAATTCCTTCACTTTTTAAATAAGGAAATTGAGACTTAACACAGCTTATGGGACATATATTTCCTATTAGTCCAGCGATCTTTCTATTTTACCACATCTCCTCTAAGACTTGTCTTGCTGATTTTATCCCTTTAATAAAATTGCTAGAATTATTTTTTCTTCCTTTTAGTGAAGAAATATTCCTCCATGGAATTCTATTGTCCTTCTAATAGTTGCCCATATTAAAGATCTCCGTCTCTTTACATTTAGTATTTAAGCCAGTTTATTACAGTAATGAATATTGCTCATCTATATATGAAACCTGTCTAGATACTACAGAAGATACAACTTAATAAAATATTTGCTCTACCTTCAAAGAGCTCTTATTTAAAGTTCTACAACCATTTGGTTAATTATAAAATGCAGAGGAAAGTATGAAAAGCAACACAGGAAGAATTTTTAAAGCTATGAAGTTTTGAGGGGAAGGATACAAGTTATGACTGCATCGAAAAATAGCACTTTGAACTAGATCCAGTAGTCTGATAGAAAGTAACCTAGGCAGAGGGAAGTAAGCCTGGTTAAATGCTATGAAATAGGAAAGAGCGGGGTATGTTTGAGGAACAGTATTAAGTTGGATATGGGGTGTGTTGTGGGATTATTTAGTAGGAGAGAAGAATAGAAGGGTCAGTCGAATTAGTATATAGGTACGCTGCCTTTCCAGAGGCAAATTTCTACTAAGAAGAAATAACATTGTTCCCCTTATCTTTCTATTGCTCTTGCTAGTCTCCTGGACATCACCCAACAGTCGGAGCCTTGGCGGCTACCTTTTTTTGTTTGTTTTGTGCCAGGCACTGTGCTAAATGGCTTATGTGCTTGTCCACATTTGTTCATCCTAACAGTCTCAGGTTACCCTCGTTTTAGAGATAATGAAACTAAAGCTTAGAAAGATTAAATAATCTGCCCATGACCACGCACTTTGTAAATGACAGACACAATTGGAGCCTGGATCTCTCTGACCCCAAAGCCCAAGCTGCTAGCCATTTTGCTCCTCTGAAGCTGTTGCCTTCAGGAGCCAAGAGAATGATTTAGTCTTTTGTTCAGGGTGAAATTCATTTCAAGGGACCATAATTCTTATCTATTGAAAGTTAATTAGCATGGAGTGTAAAGTCAGCAGGCCAGCTTACTTGTCTTGGTTCTTCTACTGATTTAATGTCACAGCATCTTTGACCTTGATTTTACTTATCTATAAAATAGGAATAGTAACACATACCATCCACTCATGTTACTGAACAGTTGTGAAGATAATTATTTCAATGTTGAGGAGCTGCTTCAAGGTTCTTAGAAGTTTGTTGTTGTTGTTGTTGTTTTTTTGCTATTTCTCTCTTTGTCTGTAGTACAAGGTTAATAACCCTACCACATAAGGGGTCTTGAGGATTAAGTAAACTTTGTAAAGCACCTAAAGCAGTGCCTGCTTTATAGTAATTGCTCAATAAATGGCAGCTATTACTAACAGTGCTGTCAATGCAGGGATTCCCAAAGATGCAGGATGTGCCTTATCTCTTTAGTTACTGACAACATAGTGCAATACACTACTAATATCATTTATGTAATTTAAAGGATGACATCATTCCAGAAATACTTCCATTTAAGTCTTCTTAGAAGTAGGAAACATAATACCTTTAATATACTACCTTAAACTACTACCATAAGTAGATTTTTAATCCATATTCAAACAAATTTCACTAACGGAGGAATATTAAAATTATTGTGTATATATGTTTGTAAACAAATACGTACGCATGCATTTGATGTCAGATTTAAGTAATTTCTCTTCATCATTACCTCTCCATTTATTTCTTGAAGCTTCTGCTCTTCTTGATCATCTAACTAAACCCAGTGTTCTAATTTTTCATCCCTTATAATGTGGAATTTGATCAAATTTGATACACTTTTACTTTAATTTTTTAAAGATAATATACTTTTTTTCCCATTAATACATTTTTTATTTTTAATTCCAGTATAGTTAGCATACAGTGTTAGATTAGTTTCAGGTATACAATATAGTGATTTAACAGTTCTATACATCATTACTCAGTGCTCAAGCATTCATCATAAGTGTACTCTTAATCCCCTTTGCCTACTTCACCCATCAACTCACATACCTCTCCTCTGACATCCTTTATTTTATTTTATTAATTTTTTATAAAGATTTTATTTATTTACTTGACAGAGAGAGATAGTGAGAGCAGGAACACAAGCAGGGGGAGTGGGAGAGGGAGAAGCAGGCTTCCCGCTGAGCAGGGAGCCCGATGCGGGGCTTGATCCCAGGACCCTGGGATCATGATCTGAGCCGAAAGCAGCTACTTAATGACTGAACCACCCAGGCGCCCCTATTTTATTAATTTTTTTAAAAGTTCTTTGTTAATTCTCTCATGAAAAATCTGCATAATCACCACAGATAAAGTCACTGCAGAATCTTTACTCCTTTTCTTTTGTCCAATCACCAGCTCACTGCTAAACATTTTATTTCTTTTTGCCAGCACCAACATTGGCTTTTGCAGTCCCCCTGACTTTGTTCATTCTGTTCTTATGTTCCTTTAGCTGTTTTCTTGAGGTGTTTTTCTTCTCATATGGGCCATGCCTTGCAAGTCTGTGTTTGGGTTCATTTTTCTTTGCATAATCCACCGAAGTGTCAAAGCTACTTGTCTTGCCACCACCAAAATGGGTTCTGAGTCCAAACCCAAAGATGACATCTGGTGTGGTTTTGTACATTTTGGCTAGTTTTTCCTGAATTTCTGTCTTAGGTACTGTTGCTTTTCCCAGCTGAAGAACATCAGTGACCATTTGTTTAAGCTGAAGTAGTCCATTGGTCATGAACTTCCTGGACTGAATAGTTACTGTGTCATTCATGATGGCAGCCAAGGTTCAAACAGCTAGGGTGGAAGAAAATGATATGCTTTATTTTAAATGAGTACCCTCAGTTAAAGTTATTAAAGCTAAAGACTATTCAAATATTTTGGGGCACCTGGGTGGCTCAGATGGTTAAGCGTCTGCTTTCGGCTCAGGTCGTGATCCCAGGGTCCTAGGATTGAGTCCCGCATCCCATTTCTCCCTCTGCCTCTGCCTCTCTCTCTCTTTCTCTGTCTCTCATGAATAAATAAATAAAAATCTTTAATAAAAAAAAGACTATTCAAACATTTTATTATAAAGGAGATTCAAAAGAGCATTGATTTAAATTTAATTGTCATCCCTCAATATGTCCATTGGTTTAAAACATTTCTCAAATGTAATTCCTGGCAGGAAAAAATCTAGAAAATTACTTTTGAAAATAATTTATGTCAGTACCCTCAGTGCTTAGTTATAATCAGGAGAAAGCTTTATTATAGCAGAATTAATGTGTTTTTAAAATCATAATCAAACTTGAGAGATTAACATAGTAACCAATTAGGGAAAAAAGAACTCCTTTAGTTTACTGTTTTCAGATGGAACTCATTTTAACTACGTCAGTTTGGCTAACTTTGTTCCCCAGTTAGCAGATAATTCTTCTACAATTCTCTCTTGCCTTTCATTTCCTGAAGATGAATTGGCCAGAACTGAGCTACATAAATCCTATAAAGAAAAACAAATTAACGATAGCCAATGTGGAGTGTCTTTACCAATGCCATACTCCACAAAATTGTCTAACTAGTGACATTCTGTAGGTAATTACCATGAAAATGAAAGGGAGATTGTTTCGTCAAATTTGATTTTTGATTATCTATGTACAGACGGATCAACTTTCCCGTAACAGTGAACAAAAGCCTGATCGAAGCCAAGCTATTCGAGACCGATTGAGAGGAAAAGGATTACCAACAGGTAAGCGTATATTAATAGGAAATTTTTAAGTTTTAACCTTATTTCATTGTTTGTTTTAATGAAATCATACTTACCTGGCTTGGGAATCTGATAATTGTGGCCATAATTAGAACGTAAGTATGCAAAGTGGAGAAAGGGAATAGACAGGAACACTAACTTTATTAATATATAAATCCATTAAAATTATGCAAAAAACATTACTAAGAACTCCCACAGTAAATCATTTCCTTTCCAATATTGTTATTTTAGCAATATTTGTTTACTTTATTGTCTTTATCATGGAATTTTATATTAAAAATATATTTTAAAGCAAGATGAAACAAAGTTTATGAACATAAACACTACTGAAACAGAGTTTCAGAAAGCAAAGTTTGCTGCACTTTATTTTCTATTCTAGTTCTTTTTGTTAATGGGAATCACAACCCCCTAAGTTGATTTTAGACTATCTTGTCTACACATGTATATCTAGAGAGAGGTGTAATTATAGTAAGGAAATATATATATAAACACATCTTCTTGCAGGTAAAAATCTTTCCCTCTATTTTTTTTATTATGTTCAATTAGCTAACATATAGTACATCATTAATTTTTGATGTAGTGTTCAATGATTCATTAGTTGCATATAATACCCAGTGCTCATCACAACACATGCCCTCACTTTCCCTTTATTTAAAAACTATCCTAGGATTGGAGATACGATATAGTATGAACCTTGGTGCCAAGAAGAGCAGCACTTTGTTAATCCATCAAATTTTCAGACTCCTGTTTTAGAACTGAATAATAATAGAAAATTATAATTAAATGTCAATAGCAAACGGAAAGAGTCTTTTTCAAGGAGACATAATGAGCATACTTTAATGAGTGAATGTTAGATTTAAATGATTTCTGTTTCTCTTATTTATCATGTTTCTAATTTCTTCCTCCCTTCCAGCAATCCATCTCCCTCCCTCTCTCCTTCTCCATTTCTGTCTGTGTTCCTTCCTTATTTCCCTGTTCTTTACTTTCTTTCTGGAATTCCCTTTTATCATCTCCTACTGTCATTAAATGGCCATGTTATAGAATTGAAGTTGGTTTGCTTGTTATTTGTTGAGTTAGTCCTATCCCTTTATTGGAGAATTAAACATCCCCTATATCTAAACTCAAGAGAATTTGTAAGGAATTAAATTTCTCACTCAAGATAAACCAAATTTTGTTTATGTTTACATTTTGGGTAAAATTAGAGGTCCTCACACTTAAAGTGCAACAGCCTTTTTGAGATCAAGTGTAATAGAAGAGAATTCTTCACTTCTTCTTAGCCATTGGTTTCCACAGTAGTACTGCTCAAGGACTGTCTTAATTTACAAATTTAACAGATGTAAAAAAACCACATCTCAAAGACAGAATCAACATAATGTACTAATTATACTCATTACCAGACAAGCAATTAGTAGCTTAGAGTCAATGGCATATACTAATGTAATATAAAAACTTTAAGATTAAAAAAGTGACCTTGTGAAGAAGAACTATTTTTTAGGACCCCAATGTTACCTTTGGGCAGTGCAGTTCTTCACTGTCAGAGGTCACTTGCAACAAAGAGTCTTGTTACACTACATCGGTACAAAAGCATTCTCTTTGATGCGAACCAACCTGAAACCTTCATGTACTGATAGCTTTAGTTTATTAGACTCCTGGCCATGGTTTTCAATAAGGAAAATGTCAAGATGGACAGTGAGATATAGAATTAGATTAAAAGAAATAAGCAATTTTAGGGATGATGCCTTGTGTCTAAGTGATTTGATTGTTCAGCTGAAACTTAACAATAACTTTTTTTTATCTATGAGTCAATTACCTTAAAAAGTCTCTCCTTGGGCGCCTGGGTGGCTCAGTTGGTTAAGCGACTGCCTTCGGCTCAGGTCATGATCCTGGAGTCCCGGGATCGAGTCCTGCGTTGGGCTCCCTGCTCAGCAGGGAGCCTGCTTCTCCCTCTGGCCCTCCCCCCTCTCGTGTACTCTCTCTCTCATTCTCACTCTCTCAAATAAATAAATAAATCTTTAAAAAAAAAAAAAGGTCTCTCCTTACATCTTAGCTCTCAGATCTGTTAAAAAGGTAAGGCCTAAACTAGTGGGCTGTCTGCCCCCATTTTGTTATTTTATACTGCCAGTGCTGATAAAATGGCTTCACTCAGCCAAAAGAAATCAAACATTTCCTCCCAAGCTTAAGGCGGAAACCTACACCATGATCAGATCAGCATGATAGTGCTTCAGAACTTGGGCGTATTGACAGTATCATGTTTCTTTTTTTGTGTACTTGAACACACTTGTGAGGACAGATGGGGAATCGAGAAACCTCTTTTAATACTGAAATGTCATTTGAAGTTACCTTCTAAGAGATGCTTAAGTTTTTTGAGTCTTGTGTGAGGGGAAAGGTGAATGATGATACCAGTTAAGGATGATGTTAGTGATATATAACAAATACAGTTAAAACACAGTACTTTATAAGGGAGTTTTTTTTTTTTCAATTTGACTAAAATAAATGGAATATGTTCTATTATGAAGACTTTTTATGTTTTTAAAATCTTTTATTTTTATTTCTTTTTCCCCCAAATTAGTTTTTAGCAAGCTCTGTATTCTCCAAAAGGAGCATGTTTATGGTTTCATTTTCTATTTGGTTACTTGTAATTGTATGTAAAATCTAATGTTGTTGGGGCTCCTGGGTGGCTTAGTTGGTTAAGTACTGCCTTCGGCTCAGGTCATGATCCTGGAGTCTCGGGATCGAGTCCCGCATCGGGCTCCCTGCTCAGCAGGGAGTCTGCTTCTCCCTCTGACCCTCCCCCCTCTCATGTTCTCTCTCTCTATCTCATTCTCTCTCTCAAATAAATAAATAAAATCTTTAAAAAAATCTAATGTTGTTTGTAAACTTCTCTTTGAACTCAGAGCCTTTTCAAGAGATGGAAAATCCGCCTGTAGCACCATTTATCCTGTTTTGAATAATCTGATTTTTTAAATAATAGAATCTAAACTTTTATAGGAAATCTTTTGATTTCTGGTTTCATGATTTCCTCTCAAAATAACTTTTAAATTCCCCCTGAGTAGATAATGATATGTTGAGGAAAATAAAGCAGAAACAAAAGAGAGGAGCAATTTAGAATTTTATGCTGCCCTTGTTCAGAAGAGCTCATGATAGTTCATTAGGTGTTAATTCATTTATCCTGCCTTCTTTAAGAAGAAGGTATAATAAGTAATGTCCACAGCTTTGTAGATGAAGGAAGTGAGAAACATGGAAATTAAGTGGCTTGCCCAAGCTCATGGATTGAATTTGGTAAAGCTGGAATTAAAACCCAGGTGTTTTGACAGTAATCTTTCTGGTAGATTATGCTACCTAAATTGGCTTTAAAAGAGTTTCAAAAAGTTAATGTAATCGATCCATTCTAGAAGCATTGTTTTGGAATGTCTTTAATCAGGAATTAGAAATACAAAAACAGGTAAGACATGGTTTCTTATGTTACTGTTCCATTTGGGGGTGGAGTGAGGAAATGAGTGGGAGTGATGACAGATATCTAATATAATGGGTAATTTTAATGTAGTGAAAGAACTGTCCTAAGAAAGGGCCAACGTGCTCTGTGAGTAAGTGGAAGGAGCTAGTAACTCTCCCAGGATGGGGAAATATTAAAGAAGTTTCTACCTGAAATCTTTTAAGAGTAGCTGCAGTGGTATTGCCTTCAAAAATAACATTAACTTCCTGTGATCAAAATGGGTAGTGAGCAGAGCTATTAGATGTACTTAATGATTTCAGTGCTGTTTATTGCCTGTTAAATAAAATAATTATAATAGCCCAACACATGTTTAGAAAGATTTGGAAAGCAGGTGAAGAAATTGCATTTTACCTAGTCTGAAATCAAGTTAGTAAGTAAGTAGCACTGGTATTAACAGTACATGGTTTTCACTGGTCTAGCAGCCTATGCACCTAATAAATGAGTCTAGAATTCCTGTTTTTCCTCACTTAAAGGGCCAGATTCTGTATTTGAACTCTCATTTTTAGTTCCCAGATTAGTGAAATTTTTCCAACAGTGCTTTAGCAATATAAGGCAACCATGATATGATATGTGATGTTATATATATTTTATCCACTTGTGAAGTGTTAATCATGCAATTCCATATTCAATTGTATAGCTGAAGATAGTATTATTGATATGATAAAATGCATTGAGACTCCTGCCGATTAGAAATATGTGATTTTAGGGGCGCCTGGGTGGCTCATTCGGTTAAGCGGCTGCCTTCGGCTCAGGTCATGATCCCAGGGTGCTGGGATCGAGCCCCATGTCCGGCTCCCTGCTCAGCAGAGAGCCTCCTTCTCCCTCTACCTCTGCCTGCCACTCTGCCTACTTGTGCTCTCTATCTCTCTGCCAAATAAATAAATAAAATCTTTAAAAAAAAAAAAAGATATGTGATTTTAAAGGGGTGTGTTTGTACCAGCCAAAATCCACCTCCCTTACCTAGATAAAGGGAGATAAAGGTATGTCTCCTTTTTCGTCCAAAAAGCAAACAAAACCATTCCTAAGGTATTAGACCCACTGGAGAAACCACTTAGCTCCAAACACTTCTCCCTTTTTTTTTCCCTCCTATTATAAATACTTTATTTCAACCAGAAGGTACAATCTCTCAGGGGTTTCATAGTTTAAAAAGCTACAAGCATGGGGCTCCTGGGTGGCTCAGTCATTAAGCATCTGCCTTCAGCTCAGGTCATGATCCCAGGGTCCTGGGATCAAGCCCCGCATCGGGCTCCCTGCTCCGCGGGAAGCCTGCGTCTCCCTCCCCACTTCCCCTGCTGTGTTCCCTCTCTCGCTGTGTCTCTCTCTGTCAAATAAATAAATAATCTTTTTTTTTTAAAGCTACAAGCACATCATGTTGTAACTACATAAAAAACATTGCTATAAATGGAACTGCCTGGCTTAGACCATATATATTTCTGCACAGTCTTTATGGAATCTGCACAAAGAAATATCTTCCCTCCCTTTCATCCAA